GATTCCTTAGTTTATTGACAAGAGATTTTTTTCTTCTTCTGAATGCTGATGTTATATGTAGAACAGTGAGGATCTAGGTAAACAGTATTTATGCCTAAAGAATGGGCAAGGCTCTTCTGCTAGGTTATTACTGTTGTAATTTGCGTCCATGTACTCAGTAGTTGAGCTGTGTTTGTCTTTGGTTGTTGTTGCTATGATTATATTCTGTGTAGAACCCAAACTGAAAACCCGTCTAGCCCTGCTTTTTGTGCATAGTGTGGGCTGAGGTGCTGGAAGGTTTTTAAAATGTTCTTTCTCTATCTTCTGCTTTTGTCTTTCTTGAACCTGTGCTTAAGAGGGAGGTTTTGTCTTCATGCTCTTGCTTTCTTATAATGGAAAACTCCTCAATATTTTCTAACTTAAGAGGTGGGGGCAAAGGTAATTCTCTGTGTTCTATCCCAGCCTCAGTTTTAGATCTGCCACCTACCTGGGGTCTCAGTGATCCTGCTTCTCCTCCATGTGGCAACCGGGGAATTTTGCTTTGGGGGGTCTTTTGTGTGAGTGGGTTTCCAGCCCCTTTTCCAGCAGTTGTTGTTTAGATGCTAAGTCATATCTGACTCTTTTGTGACCCCCATGGACTGTAGCCTGCCAGACTCCTCCACCCATGGGATTTCCAAGGTGAGAATTCTGGGGTGGGTTGCCATCCCCTTCTCCAGATGATCTTCCTGACCCAGGGATCACACCCGCATCACCTGCATTGCAGCTGGATTTTTTATAGCTGAGTCACCAGGAAGCTCAAGCCTCCACTAGTAGGAGACCCCTAACTGTCCTAGCACCCAGGAAAATTTTTTATTTTTTCCCTAAGAATATAGATAGGAACTGTTATTTTACTCTTTCTTCAGACTCCGCAGGTCTTCATGTGCCCTGGGAGTAATATGTTTTCTGTCCTTTACCCATTGGGTTAAGAGTCTTATTCCATAGAGGAGAAAATTTGGTGGGGCTCTGGAATTTTTCCATAGCAGTGGTTGCTCCCCAGGTCTGTACAACTGAGAGGATTTCTCTGGTCCCTTGCGGTGCCCACACTCTTTCTCCTTGGTGTTCAGTGGATGTCAGTGGAAAAGAACCTGCAGGTAGACTCCCCTTGAGTCAGCAGGTCTTGGGGATTTTATACTCTCATGCCAGTTCACACTGAGCACTTAGAAGTTTATTAAATATTTTAGCTGAGATCTTACTCACTTATGTGGTGTGCAGAATTTCTTCCCCACATATTCTACTATGATTGAACCAGTACTCACTTTCTGTTTGGATGGGCTTGTCTTTCCTTAGATTTCAGGCTGCTTGATTGCTTTGTAGTGTTAGCTTTTGAATGAACCCAAGAAAAGTAATTATCTTCAGGTTTCTATAGCTTTAAAAAATATTATTGTTAGGGAGTTTGAGATTGACATGTACACTCTGCTATATTTAAAATATATAACTAACAAGGATCTATTTTGTATAGCACAGGGAACTCTGCTTAATATTATGTAATAACCTAAATGGGAAAAGAATCTGAAAAAGACACATGTATATGCATAACTGAATCACTTTGCTGTACATCTGATACTAACACAACATTGTTAATCAACTATACTTCAATGTAAAATAAAAAGCTAAAGAATTATTGTTAGAGTAAAGAGTCTCACTTCATTTTGAATACACTCCTATAGTGAACTTCCCCTGTAGCTCAGAGGTAAAGAAACCTGCCTGCAATGCAGGAGCAGCAGAAACCTCAGGTTCCATCCCTGCATCGGGAAGATCCCCTGGAGGAGGGCATGGCAGCCCACTCCAGTATTCTTGCTTGGAGAATCCCCATGGACAGAGGAGCCTGGTGGGCTATAGTCCATGGGGTTGCAGAGTCAGACATGACTGAAGCAACTTAGTAGGCACACGTAGATACAGATGTCTTTAAAGTATTAGCAAAATCTTTTGTGTTTGGGACATACCTGATGTATTTTCCTTTTTATTCAAAGATAGAGCATTACTGGGAAGACCCAAAGGGATGGGATGGGGAGGGAGGTGGGAGGGGGGATCAGAATGGGGAACACATGTAAATCCATGGCTGATTCATGTCAATGTTTGGCAAAAACCACTACAATATTGTAAAGTAATTAGCCTCCAACTAATAAAATAAATGAAAAAATAAAGATAAATTAAAACAAAAACAAAAACAGAAGCATCAAAGATAGAGCATTTAGTATGCCTGGCACCCTTGTCTTATTTCCCAAGCTACTCTGAAGCCCTTTTGGGGAAAAGAGGTCCATGGTATTCTATAGCAAATACTGTATGAATAATTTGGGATTTGGGGAATGAGGAGACTTTTACTAGCCTGTGTTCAACTAGCTTTGTCAAGCTGAAGCATCTGGGAAATTCCCAAAAGCACAAATTATAGGCATAGAGAAATAAACTTTTGGGCACACTAGTTTTTTTAACCTGCAAAGTCTGAACGTTGAAATTATATTTCAAAATAGAATATACATGGTGTCATTGGGAATGAAATAGCAATGTTACATATATGCACATTTAAGTTAGCCTTAAAAACAAAGATATTTACTGATGACTCCAGTAAGGTAGATCCTATTCAAATAGTTCAAGAAATAAAATTATTATCATAAATGATTGACTTTCAGAAAGTGGCCATGGTAGATATGTTATATATTAACTCTAATAAGTGGGATTACTCTCAACAGTTTAAATTTATTTGTTCACTGATGGTGATGTACTTGGAAAAACAATTTTCTCTAAAATGTTACCAATTTCTTCTAAGTTCTACAAGAAGTATTAGTATTATTTCAACTATGGTAGGCCAACAAAATATTGTATACATTATTAAATAAGATTATCTGGTAGATTATTAGTGTACTATGACCAGTGTACACTTATCCTACCTCTGCAGAAAAGCAATGGATTAATTAGTTTTGACAGTGCCTCTAATTCTCATGTGAAGCTTTGAAGATGAAGCATTAAATATGATATTATTTTAACTCCTCATTTCTCCATTTTGTGGCTTTTAAACTTCATGAGGATGGCATAGTAAGGGAAGGATTCTTTAACAGTCCACTGAGTCTCTTCAAGGAACAGCCATTGAACTCTCAGTACTTTATTGTCATTTTTAAAAAATGTAACTTTCTCTCTTTTTTCTTCTCTTTCTGAGTACTTGAGTACATTAGTGAAGACTCATGTTTTAGAGCTGGTCAAGCCAAGTAAGACAACAAATTGAAATTTGTTGAACTGTTTTGTTGGTTTCATTAATCTTGCTCTTTTTGAGGCTATTATTAGTTATTTTAAAATATTTGAATTACTTGTATTTATCATAAATTAAACTCAAGGCCTAATTAGCATTCTCATGAAGGATGCAATTAAAAATGTGAAATGAAACAAAAACAACAGCTAGTACTTCTGCAGACTCAGCTTGCTTAATTTTTCAAAGCACTGTTAATAAAATCAACACAACTAATTTGAATTTATGAATGGATAAATAGATAATGGAAAAGGAAAAATTTTCATTGTGTTCAGAACAAAGTGAAATAAGAAAGCAAAATTTCCTTTATAAGCATAAAACAAATAATGTTCAACTAGAGCATTTTTGCAGAACTGAGTCAATACCTTAGTAATGTATCTAATGTCAAAATTCTTAATCTGGAAGTAGACTGTGATATAATTCCACAAGTAAAGTAGTTATAGAATGACTAAAATGAAGTTGCTTATCAAGTGCCAGAGGTATGCCCCCAAATCATTATTGCTGTTTAGTAGTTAGGTTGTATCTGACTCTCGCATGGACAATTGCCCAGGCTCCTCTGTCCATGGGATTTCCCGGGCAAAATACTGGAGTGGGTTGTCATTCCCTTCTCCAGGGGAACTTCCCAAAGCAGAGATTGAACCTGAGTCTCCTGTGTTGCAGGCAGATTCTTCACTGCTGAGCCACCAAGGAAGCCCAATCATTGTGATAACAAAAATCAATCAAACAACTACAACAAAACATTACTTCCGATTTCCAATATACTCCTGGGAGCAGTACTTCTCCACTGAGATCCATAGGCTTAAGGTCACAAGGCCAAAGAACTGGCAAGGGACACCAGCCTCCCAGTCTTAAACTTGGAAAGCAGATATGCTAGTGGAACAAGCAGAGCTTAGGAAGCTGACCCTAAGCCAGCAGTCAGGAAAACCGGCGAATAACCTGGCTTATACCACAGAAACTCAAAAAGGCTCAAGATTTGTGATCATATGTATCTCCAAAAATGAAGGTGAAGGTAGGTTAAAGCACCAGGGTATTGAAGTCTGTTTCAAGTTGAATCTGGAGGTGCTGACTGAAAAAAATATGTGACTATTTCCACCTGAATGAAATATTTTCAGTTCTAACACTTGATGCTATTTGGTTTCCAGTATCCTGGCAGCCTGTATTGAACCCCCTGGTCTAGGGCTTATAGTATTCTTCTCTGGGGCTCCCAAAAGCCTAGAGAAACTAAAGGTAATAACCTCAGGGTGGCTCAGATGGTAAAGAACCCACGTGCAGTGCAGGAGACCTGAGTTTGATCCCTGGGTTGGGAAGATCCCCTGGAGAAGAAAATGCATATTGACCTCCTTGAGATGGCAGAGTCAGACACAACTGAGTGACTGACACTTTCACTCTACCTGATAGAACAACTCAGCCAGCTCACCATACAGTGAAACTCGTTTCCTTTTTATAAATCCTATTTTGGAGCTCAGATTTGCAATCAATTTATAGATACTGTGCTTAGCTGCAAGTAGGAAATCCACTACACAGTTGAGAAAAACTTCAATGTATAAGTTGGAGACTCAGACTAAAAACATGTAACTTCAGGTGGTGCAGTGGTGAAGAATCTGCCTACCAATGCAGGAGATGCAAGAGACATGGGTTCAATCCCTGGCTCAGAAAGATCCCCTGGAGGAGGAAATGGCAACTCACTCCAGTACTCTTGCCTGGAAAATTCCATGGACAGAGGAGCCTGGTGGGCTACAGTCCATGGAGTCACAAAATGTCGGACACAACTGAGCACGCACACACAGGAAAAAAGAAGTAAGCTTCAAAAACGAACTTTTTGAAGAAAACCTCAAAAAAAAATGCTTAGTATCCTTACAAAATAAAACACTTCATTCTTAAAGTGAATAAGAATGGGTTTCTCTAAAAAGGAACATGAGAAACAAAAAAAGTTAATGAAGAGGGGGGGAAAAAGCTAGAATAGAATTAGAAAAATAACTATTAGGTAAGATCAGGAAATCTCCAAGAAAATAGACTCAAAGTACAGAGAGAAAGACAAAATGATTGGAAAGATAAGAAATTTAACCTCTTCAGGAGTTCCAAAAATAAAAACCAAATGGAGAGGAGAAAACCATCGATGAAGTCATTAAAAAAAATTCCCCTAAATCGAAAGCTTTCCTTAATTTGCTTCTAGTGTTATCCAGGGGAGCCCAACAAAGGGTTGCATCTTTTTGGATTCCTTGTTGTTTAGTCACTCAGATGTGTCCGACTCTTTGAAACCCATGGACTGCAGCATGCCAGGCTTCCCTGTCCTTCACTGTCTCCTGGAGTTTGCTCAAATTCATGTCCCTTGAATAGGTGATGCCATCCTTAGGGCACCTTTATTTAAGGAATGTTGCTGATATCAATTTAAGGGAAGTCAGTGAAGCTCTAAGTCCAGGAAATGGAGAATTTGTCACAAAATTGTCCTCTTGAAGCCTGAAAAACTAACCAGGAAGTCTTTAAGTCATTCTGAGGTGCTTAGGATCAAGCAGTGTATAATAACATGCAGGAAGCAGTTAGTGAATGGTCATTGATGTGAACTATTCCATGCCAGCCCTTGATTATGCCTGACCGAGACTGATGGTGGTCTCAATGTGTTGTCTTCTGGACATTCCTCTTGGGGCTGCAGCTTAAGCAGAAAGAGATTTGGATTTAAAATATGTCTTGGGCATGGTAATAGCATTTTTCTAAAGGAAAAACAGGGACTCTTATCCTTGCAGGTAATTTTCTTTTTGAATTGTAAATTTATTATAGGAAAAGTTTTACAAAGATATACAAATTAAGTGACATTTAATTTGTTAAAAAGAATAAAATTATATTGAATTGGATGTGCTCCAGAAATTCTAGGCTAACTGCAGTAGCCTTAGGTTATAAATGCAAATGTATTTCATTATAATTTTGCTCTACACCTGGTGCAGCTTGCATAAATAAGCTGAGTAAAGCTAGATTGTGATAAACTGAAGTTTCAATCAATGGTATCTGAGGTCCTATAACCTATTGGCATCTACTGCTTTAGAAGGTTGAAGTTTTTAGAGATGGCTTTATTATTTGGCATCTACCTGTCGACTGAAGTGACTTTGCATGCATGCACCTGTCAAGATTTAGGTCATAAATGTAAATTTTTACTGAATAAAGGCAGGCTACAAAGTTTCTTTCAGATTCACTGAGAAAGGCCTATTTATAATAGTAAATAACAGGAAACATGATTTCTTTTAGGGGAAATCTGAAAATTAAATACTTGTAAGACCATTACTTAGAATATAAAAAGTTTTATTTTTGTGATCAAGTTAAAAGATGAATAAATTGGGTAACTACAAGGTTGCAATGTCAATTTAGACCACTTTGATAGGACTATGTCTTAACTTGTTTTCTATCTTTCCTTTGTCCTATTGAATGTATAATCACTCTTTAGCAGTCTGCATCTTTCTCCACATTTATTTTATGTGGCAATGATTATTTGTGTTCTTGGATGTAAACTATACTTAGAAAATTGAATCTATTTGGGCCAGGGAACCAAGCAGATCATATCTACCTTTACATGTTTGGAACTGTAGCTTTGGACATTTTTGATCGTTCTCTTGCTCAGAGTACCTGAAAATTTCTCATCCATATGGTGGTATCCAGGAGCTCTGGAAAGGAGTCAAACCCTAGTGCTTTTCTATTGAAACCCGATTTGTTTCATTATTCCTTACTTGCAGGCATAACTATAATTGGTCAGCCAGGCACATGCTGTTGTGAATGCAGAATTAGATACCAGGTTTTTAGGTGAAACTGAAACAAGGATTGTTTCACTGCCATTCAGGTAGATGTAATCTTTTTATCTTTCAAAGTCACTCAGACTGCTGGCCTGTCATCTCCTCCAGATCTCTCTATTTGTGCTCCCCTCTTTGCCCTTGCATTTTCATTCTTGATTTCTTTGGCTTCAGGAGCCCCAACAATGATGGCGCCAACTACTGCAGAGTGACACATTCAGGCTAACAGTTGGGATTTTACTCTGTTCAGTATAAGATTATTTATTGGATATTGTTTGATAAGTAAAATGTAGTAAAACCAGAAGAAATGACTCCTACCTTTTCTAATAAACACAACTCATTTATTTAAAATTAGCCCTAACATATGTCCTTCTGGAATCTCACACTGCGTGGGATTCTCTGTGAAGAGAAGCTCATCATCCAACATGATGTGTTTCTGTGTCAAGCGAATAGATTTTTAAACCAATTTTTGATTTTGGCTGTGCTGGGTCTTCATTGCTGCGTTCAGGGTCCCCTGGTTGCAGTGAACGGGAGCTGCTCTTTGTGGTGACGCTCAGGCCTGTCCTTCCGGTGTCCTCTCTTGCTGTGAGGCACAAACTCTAGGTGTGTGAACCCTAGCAATGGTGGTGCGTGGGCTCCGTAATCATGGCGCAGGGGCTTAGGTGCTCTGTGGCACATGGAGTCTTCCCAGACGAGGGATAAAGCCTGTGTCCGCTGCGTCGGCAGGCGGATTCTTAGCCACCGTACCACCAGGGACGTCCAAATGCACACACTTTACTTGGAACATGACTTAATGTTTCATATTCACTTATATTATAATGCCATTTTTTCCCTTTCTTATTTTTCCAAGCATCCTTTCCTGAACTATTTTTAAGACCTGACTACATGCAAAGAATTAAATAGACACAATCTTTACCTGGAGGAACTTACAAGGGAGTGTGGGAAACAGGTGAGTGAAAGTAACTATACAACAATGCAAACTGCTAACACTTATGGATGATCTTACTATGAACTGGTCACTGTACTAAGAACACAGAGAATCTTATTTAACCCTCAGAATAAACAGTACAGGGTAGGTTAATATTGCTTTCATTCTGGCAGATAAGGAAATAGGTCCAGAGACTTTGAATCTTTGGCCTAGATTGAAGAACCTTTCTGGCTCCAAAAGCATAGGGAAATTTTGCACAATATCTCAGACGATGTTCCCAAAGGCAGAAATGTAGATGGACGATAACAGGTATCCCAAAAATAATGCAGGTCAAACCCCAGAAATACAGATATAGTAAGGTGGGAAATGTGGGATGCGGGATGGTTTAATGGATTAGGTAGCAATTAAACCAAGGCATAAATGACAGTAGGGTGTTGAGAGAGAGAGAGAAAGAAGGGAGAGAGGGTGTGTGTGTGTGTGTGTGTGTGTGTGTGTGTGTAAGGCACCAACAAACCAGGCTTCCAGTCTTGAGAAAGCTGGGCTTCTTTTTGAGTATATTTGTAGCAACTTTATCTAAGTCTTATCTGAACTCTGAGACAGTTGATGTCCATTGAGATATATGGCTTGTCAAAGACCCCACAGCTTATAAGAAGCAGAGCCAGGACCAGGACATGTTCATACTGACACAAATTTAATTGGCTTTTATGTTTTTATCACAACTCATTCAATCATAACTCACTGTAGTCAAGAAAGTTGATCCAGAGTCTTGTGTCCAATTATTTGGGGCTACACCTGGTGACTCATTTTCTGTTCCTACAACAAACTAGTATTAGGGAAATCACTTGACCATAATTAACCTTCCTTAAAAGTGGAAGCACATAGTCAGTGTGTGACTGATATTGTCAAATAAACTATTAGCTGTCTGATTTTTCAATATATGAAAAACAATTCAGAATGTTTTAGCAAAGTTAAAAAGACTTGGGAAAGAGTTCCTTTGAGGTAATAATGAAAGATCTAAAGAGTGAGAGTCTTTACCTTGGAGAATAAAAGGTTCAGACATTGTCAATGTGTCAAGTTTAGATTGTCCTTGTAATGCAAAAAGACAGTCTACTTCCACTTTTAGCTCTGTACATGTTCAATAAAAAGTTTTAAAATGCACGCTGGAAAAAAATGCACACTGAAGTTCAGAATTTGGTGTTAGAAAAAAATCAATTTCTTTCACTTTATATATTTGAAAAAAAATTTTAATTTTTTGGAAAAAGACCCTTTCTATATAAGCTTATGAGACGTCATAAAAATTACATTTAT